GTGTCCCATCCAGCCCACTGCAGGCAGTTTCATCCCTGCCCACAAGCCCAGGCATCTCTGCTCCACCCAGCTCCTTCCCTTCACCTCATCCTCCTCAGCCTCAATCCTTGCCCAGAGATCCCCTGGGGAAAGGCTTATCCCAGCCCTTAGCTCGCCCACCTGTTCTCCCTAACCTGGGAGATGAAAATACAAAGCCCAGTCCACAGCCTGGGTGCACAAAGGGACTTTGAAGGAGGGAAAAATGCAGGAGAGCCAGGGAGAGGGGAGGAGGAGATGCAAAGGCCAGGCAGAGTTTCCCTAGGACTTCTCTGACCTTCTCCTGAGGACACATGCTCTGCAATGCTGCTGAAATTCCTTAAGATGCTGAATAAATGGCTGTTATATCTTCATGCCTGAGGTCAGAATATCATCTACAGAACAAAACTTTGCCATAACTCTATGCCCAGCTCAGCAGTAAAGCTGGATGCCCTGTCAGCATTTCCTACCTGAGTGTGCCATACTGCAGCTTCTCTGATGAAGCACACACTGGAGCCAAATAAATAAGTCCTCCTCAGTCTGTATGCAACCAAATCATCATCCACCTCTAAAGAGTTAAATGTTATTTTGCATTACAAGGAAGCACACTTTCTTTCTCTAAAGTTTCCAAGTCCACTGAGATGAGTACTTCAATGGGACATTTTCTTTTGATTTGAAACTGGCCAAATGCAAGTAGTTGTAAACTGGCTGGGGATAAGCCTTGCTCCTGGGGGAGCCGCTGACACGTGCCGTCTGGAATCTCTATCTGTAAAGGCAAGCAGCAGCCACTCACATCATGCTGTCAGGGGCCTGTGTCCCTGACCACATGGGAGACTGGGTCTGGGAAACCTGAAAAGAGTGAAGCTGTAGTCTTTAAAGGTAAGATCTTCTTTATCTCTTCAATTCCCACAGTAATCACTAAGCTTTTCTCAGTTTTATGATGTGAGAGTCAACAGCAACAATGTAAATGATCAAGAACCCAAAATAGGATTTTGGTCCTAACCCAGCCATTGAAAAGCAGCCTAGGACACATAATGCCACTGGCTGGTGCAGCACCTGTAGCCTTCTCCACTTAACCACAGACCATATACCATTGCAGGGTGGAAATAGCACAGGCAAGGTTAAACAGCTTCTTCAAAAACTAATCCCATGAGTTGATGCTAAAGAACGTGCCAAGATTTCCCAGCACACCAATACCTTTATTTTTCTACTTAGGAGATTTTAGGAATAGCTACCAGAAACCCATGAAGTTCAGAGTCCTGCTTCCAACATTTTTTATCAAATACTTCACAAGAAGGTAAAGATTTCTGTGAAAGGTTTAATACCATAAAATGCCCAAGAAAAAACTTTGTGCCTTACAGCCTAGTGCTTAGAGGTTGGCTAGCAGCTAGGAGGACAGCAGTAGCTCCCAGTTGGGGTGCTGTGGGTAAGGCCATACAACTAAAATACCAGCCACCTATTATTTGTTGCTGGTTCATCTGTTAGTGCCATGCCATATCCCAGTGGGAATGCAGTGAGAGCTTCCCCCAGCGTGGAACAGATTTTTGAACAACCAGGAAAAAAAAGCAGCTTGTGAAATTCAACCAAGTTCCTGTTCCCTCTTACCTGAGAGGTGAAGCATGGCCAGAACCTTCTCAAGAGCTCGCTGGGTACAAATGCCGTCACTTCTGTAGCAGTTCTGAAAATACACAATTCCTGAACTGTGCTGAGGTTTTTCTTGCCTCAGTACCTGACAGTGATAAGTTCCACAGATGAAAGACCTGACCACTCTGAGCTCCCCTCCTCATCCCCTACTCTTGGGACAGTTGTGTTCATGGAGCCTCCACTTCTCCCTTTTCCCAGGGTGCTGGGAAGCACCTTGCCCATCACTGGGCTCTTTTCATCTCCAGCAATTCCTGGTTTAGGACATGCAGTTCAAAGGTCCAGCAGGAATGATTATTTATCAAGCTCTCCCAACAATTGCTGTACTTAGGTTGGGGTTTTTTTTCTCTCCCTTTTTGCTAATCCCTTTGCTGTTTCTTCTGTTGTACTCTACCAAAAGACGAAGTCTAAGTCAGAAGAAAGAAAAACCTGTGTAAGTCTTCAGCTCTCTGGGCTTGCACTCCCTTATAATTTGAGCAAACGGTGTCTGGCATTTACCAGCACATGCAGGTGCTTCAGCAGCTCCCTGGATATATGAGAGGTCAGCAGGGACTGAAGTCAGCTGGAAGAGGAATTGCCCAAATTCAGCAAAGCTGTGTCAGATCTGTCTTGAATCTGAGCACAGCCTGTGTATTGTCAGGCCTCTTCTCTACACACAATACTGATCTCCTCCCCTCTCCTGCCCCATCCCCTGAGCAGCACCACTGCAGCTCCCTCTCACCATGAACTTCCTACTACAAAGAAATGTCTTGTTTGTGCTCCTGAAACAGCAGGCTGGAGTCCTGACACTGCGTTGTGCCTCCACATCTGTGCAGTGCCTTCTGACTGATCTGTAGGGTTTGTGAGATATCCCTTCTTTGTTTTCCTATGAGAAAGAAAGTCAATAAAAACCATCAGTTTTCTGGTTTTTGGTTGGATTTTTTTTAGACTTACTCTTCATATACTTCTCTGGCACCCAAAAGAAGCACATCTTCTAAATGTTAAAGCCCAGATTTTATCTTTCCCGTAGGGACAGACACATTTGGAATCCCAGAGGTAGCTACTTACAGCTATTTGAGGTCAGACACTCCTATGAGGTTGGCTCGCAAGGAATTCAGAGGTTTAGCTTTAAAAAAAGTGGTCAGAGCAGCTGTGATTTATTTATAATTGTGCAGATTCATCAGTCTAGAGACTGCTGCAATCTTCTCCTTTGGCTTTCTACTCAACCAGGTGCTGCTGGTGTGTTAGCCATGCTTCAGGACTCTTGCTGTTAGAGAAGCTAGGTATTCTTCCTGCTAATGCTAAGCCAAAGCAATATGGAACAATCCTGGTGCTCAATGAATTCAGAAGCAGTGGTGGAATCCCAGCAGAATGTCCCTCCCTCCACCACCTCAGAAGGTGGGAGGCTCCACAGAGCCCAGGCAATTTCTTCCATGGGGTGTGAATGGCTCCATTTGAGAAAGAGTGGGTAGACCCTTCAATAGAAAACCAGCACACTTTCATTTTGGAATAAATTTTTATTTTCTTTATATCCAGGCTTATCATTGACATCTGAAAATAAAAGCTTTCATTTACAAATAGGATAGTGCAAATTAAAGATAATTTTGGACAAAAAAAAAAAAAGGAGACAGATTGCATATAACAAAAAAGAAATGTATGTGTTAGGATGATCTTCCTGGAACAGCTGGTGGAGGTCGCCTAGGAAAAAGACAAAAAATAACCCAAAATTCATGGGGAGGCGAGGGGAGAAGACATTTAAAACAAAAGGTCAAGGTACAATAAAATGACTCATATACAAAATTATCTTAATAAAACGGGTTAAGAGAAAAAGGCACAGAACATGCACATTAAGGAAAAGAGCAAGAGCAAGATTAGAATCAGCTGGCTATCAGCACAGCCTCGGCTTTCATCCTCACCGCTTCCCATCTGACTGGCTGGCGCCAGAGAACTAGGACAATCACATCACAAGTGTGGAGGTCGCTGGTCACACGCTTTCTAATTTTGTTGCAGCAAATAATATCCTCTGGAAGAGCTTTCCCCCAGCCAGCCTTAAAATTTGTACCACTATCCGCTTCAAACACTGTTCCTGGAGTAGACCTTTTTTAAGTGATATATTGATGAAATCAGGAATGATCAGACAAGATGGCCTGTGGGCTGGATGGGGGTATCTGGAAGGGCCATTTCTGGGAAAGGTGGAATACACGGGTGATGGCAGCGCAATGAATCTACTGCCAACCCCAGCAGCAGAGACCCTTGGCAGCTGATGGCCCAGAGCAGAGGTTAGAGAAGAGCAGATGCTCCTGCTGTTACCCAGCACAGAACATTGACCAACATGCCGGGAACCAAACTCATACAGGGGTACGTAATGTATCCCAGCCAGACAGGACATATGTAACACTGCTGTTCACTGAGGGAGAGTGCAGACTGCCTCAGGCATAGCCATTAAAGACTATGAAAAAAATAAAATCTCCAAATGTTACAGCAAGCAAGTGAATACAGTGGGGACATTGCTGCTTTGCTCATCCCACTTTTTGCTCCCCCTTTTCCCAAAACCTAAGGACCAATGCAGTGACTGTTGTGCTCAGTGAGAAACGTCCTCTCCTGTAGGAAGCTGTTGCACTTCTTGTGCCACACAGACCATCTCCTCCAAGCACCAATTCCAGTTACTTGGCTTATCCTGATCTGAGGGAGGAACTGAGTAATCAAGACATCTGCACAGTCACACACACCACTTTAGAGGGAAATCCCTTCCAGATATAATGCATACACATGCACATTTTACTCTAGCTCCTGCTCTGGAGGACTCTGGCCTTCTGCTCAGCTCTGGATCTCCCCAAAACATGCTTTCCCCAGTAATGAAATGAATACCAGGTACTGCTTGAAAAACATTCATCCACTTCCCAGCAAAATGTCTCTGGAGCACTCCAAGCAGGGCAGCAGGCTGAATGCTTCCCATGGGTTACATCTCCCCTGTCTCCCCTTTTAATGACATCTCCAGTGATCTCAATGCAACACACATCTCCCATAAATCCTTGATGCAGTCCCAACAGAGGCGGAGTGCAGCATGCTGACGTGATGGTGCAAGAGAGAGATGACCACTCATCCGCATCCAGAAAGTAATAATAAAAGCCCATCAGAGTTACGGTTTATTTCAGGTTCAGCAATGCAGTATAACATTTTTACAGCAGGTGTATGTGATGCTCGGCAATGACCATGGTTTCAGGAATCGACTTGCTGTGCTCAAAGGTCAACACCAGGAACCATTTACAGTTTATGAAACCACAGGCAGATGTTTTGGCTCATATGAAGTAGGACATTAACATACAGAGCAAAATTCAGAAAGAAATTAAGCATTTGCTTCTTACAAAACAAAGTCATCATTTACACCGTCCTGGAAAAAGTAAAGAGACAGGCAGTAAAGCAAACGGCCGGCAAGACGGGACAAATCATATATCAAGCAAGAGTGGAGGACTGTCTGGACGGGAGGAGCCATCGGTATCAGCTCGCCTGCAGACAAAGCAAGAGGAAAGACAGGCAGAGTAACATTCATTTACACAAGGGAGCTGTTCTGCTAGAGCCCAGGGAGGAGGTTCAATGCCACAGTGGGAGGAACTGTGCCATAAGCGCAGTGTCCTGGTTAAACTGCCACACACCAAGAGGTCGGATGCCTCCCCGGTGTCACAGATGCAAAACAGGTCTGCTTTCAATTCAGGAGGTTTGGACTATTTTAAGACAGAAAGACAGAAATAGCCAGTAATCTCAATAAGCCACATACACATTGTTTAGTGTAGCTGTCTGCAACAGAGTAGTATTTTCTATGTTATGCTTTAACACGAGATGCCATAACCTATAATGTATCTCCTTTAATATCATAAATAATCTAATTTTATGAGGCTTACTCGGAAAGTGCAACAAGATCAGCAATAAAATAAACACACATTAACTATGTACAGAAGCCTTTTCATTGTACATACAATCTTTTTAATCCTAACACAAGATCCCTTGAGATGAAAGGCCGAGAGCTATTTACGGCACGCACAAGCTCTTCAGCTGTTGGTCAGCCATGATGAGGTGAGGAAGAACATATTCTTTAGGCAGAGACTCAGGTTTAACCTAAATGCAATACTAGACGAGCACCCTCCTTATGAGCTATGTACATCACCCAGCTAATTACGCACCTTACATAAGGTCAGAAACCCTGCTTGTTGCTTAACGGGCATCTCCACTACTCCCTGGCAATCTTCTGAGCTTTGCCAGAGGGAATCAAAGAAAGGGAGAGCAACCCGAACTTCTCAGCTGCCATAGTTCAGGCTTAGCTGACCCTGTGTAAGGGCGTCTGCAGAGGAGGCAGTGGCCAGTCTGAGGTAGCCAGTCCCTCCAGCAGATCCATGGGGTGCTGGTCCTGCTGTCCTTCGGGCATGGAGAGGGTTGCTGCCAAGACTGCTTCTCTGAGGACAAGGGACAGGAGAGACACGACTCGCCAGCATCAGGAGCGAGTGGGACAAACAAACCCGTTCCAGGCACTGTAGAGCCGGAGGAAATGGGCCGAGGTTGGGAAGACAGTAGTTATTCAACTGGATGTGGCAATTTCTTGGGAAGCACCTAGCATTCTTCCTATAAACAACAATTCTACATAGTTTATTCTGAAAAGTGTATATGCAAGAGGTTAGAGGCAAAATCATCAAACTCCGGATCTGTGCTCAAGATTACTTATTAACCTGCATACCTAAAAGTGTTGCATTTAGGGCACAGGGCCAGATTTGGATGTGATCTAAATGAGGATGCAGAGGAAGGGAGGGCTGTGCAGCTGTGTCCCACGACCTCAACATCGAGCACAGAACCAGATGGTGCTGACAGTGAGGCCACAGGCGCCTCTGCCTCCTCCTCCTTCTCCTCTTCTGGGTAAATCTACCCTTGAGAGCTTCATTTACAATTCCGGATTACTGCTGAGAAATACAGTTTCTTGGGGAGCAGAGTTAAGGACAGTGCTGAATTGTGCTACCTACTTCGTTATGCTTGGCAGAATCAGTCATTAAAGTAAATGAAGGAGTCTCAAGTACACAGCATTTAAAAACATGTTTTTAGGCCAGGATCTATGTCATCTAATAGAGGCTCCTAACTTACTGGCACTGCCACCCTCGTCTCTGATCCAGCCACACTGGTCTGAATCACCTTCTGGAGGTGCTGCCTCTTTCCATCAAACAAAGGGCACCTTGGACAACTAAGTTGAGTACCTGGGGTATGGTGGGATAAACCCACACCATGGCCTTGCAGTATCACTGAATGAATATAAAAATCTGGGGTTAAAGTGACTTTCTGTGGCTGAGGCACTAAGCCTGGCTTTCTCTCATCAGGCAGCTACCAGTCAGTAACAAGAGAGTTCTGATAAACTACATACAAGCTTGCTGGCTAGACAACAGCATGGACAACCTCACAGCTGTTTATAAAAATACATCTAATAGATGAATTGCATGTTACAGCAGAGCACTACACAGCGGAAAACTGTAGAACACAAGAAAAATCATCAAAATATGTTTTCTTTCTTTGTAGTAAAAATCTGTATGCGTGTAGTTGGGTTTACAATCTTTTTTTTTTTCCTTGAAAGATGATTCTGTGCACTTGGTGTTGGAGATCTGGGCCTGTTCTCCAAAGAAACACCAGCCACTTAAGCAGTCTTCTGAGATCACCAAGATGCCAGTGCTCTGACAAACTCCATCTTCACTTTGCTTCAGATGTTGACCTCTAGACTCCTCAGGTGTGTGTCACAAGTATGAGGTTGACAGGAAATTAAAGTTAAGCTAACATACAAATCATGATGCTTTCCCAAGCTCATCTCTCTTATGCAAGCTGAAACACGATTTGCCTCAGTGGTAAGCACAACTAATCAGCAATCTGGGAATACTTAATAGGCTAAATCCCTATTTGTTGTGGCTCTTTGATTGGATTCTTCCTAACCATGGGGCTACAGCATACTGGAGCCCTACATGCAGTCTCAATAAATAAATTTATTGGACTGATTATACTGAGGGCCTTTGAAACCACCAATTGCTTTGCCTAGGGATCTGTAACCATAATTGTAATAACAGCAATTGATATTTTCTGAAGAAACAAGGCCACATGAATCTCTAGTCTAATTCTGTTAACTCAGGCAGTTTTAAGCTATAAGGGTGGCACTGACCCTAAGTGTTTAAAGTGAAGTAATGCAGTTAAGACAAAAGGTTTTTATAAATGCATTAATATATAATGTGCAAAACAATAAGGCAGAGAGGACCTCTGCAAGTGAACATCTGCTAAAATAATCCCTTGCCAGGATGCACAGCTGAGCACTTCTCAGGATTTAGTTGGCTAAAGCGACCCCATCTGAGGTGCAGGACTTCAAGTGATGCAAAGACAAAATCTTTACATAGGGAGCCCAGTGGAACTTTATCAGCTGGCGGGAGCAAATATCTCAAATCCAAACTGGACCCTTGGAAAGCTGAGATGCAAATCTAGGCCATAGCTCTAAGAATTGGCTCACACAGTGGGCAGAGGAGCGATAGCCCATTTACAGCTGTGCATATATCTGTATCTGTATCTGTATCTCCTTCCACGTCACAAAATGACCCAAAGCAGTGCTCAGTTCTCTGGATCCTGCCACACAGTAAACTTATATGTTTTACATGCACTCACATACCCCCAAGGCTTCCCAGGAGCTCAGTGCGAGCACAAATGTGAGCAAGCACTAGCAGAGGACAAAGTGAGCTGGCACATGCTGCTCTGTCATGTACTGGCTCTTCAAACCGC